AGAGTGGGTAGGGGATGTGTAGATCAAGTGTTTACATTGAAGCATATATGTGAACAGTATTTAGATAAAGGTAGGGAAGTTTTTATTGCATTTATGGATTTAGAAAAGGCATATGATAGAGTGGATAGAGGAGCAATGTGGCAGATGTTGCAAGTATATAGAATAGGTGGTAAGTTATTAAATGCTGTAAAGAGTTTTTATGAGGATAGTGAGGCTCAGGTTAGGGTGTGTAGAAGAGAGGGAGACTACTTCCTGGTAAAAGTAGGTCTTAGACAGGGATGTGTAATGTCACCATGGTTGTTTAATATATTTATAGATGGGGTTGTAAAGGAAGTAAATGCTAGGGTGTTCGGGAGAGGGGTGGGATTAAATTTTGGGGAATCAAATTCAAAATGGGAATTGACACAGTTACTTTTTGCTGATGATACTGTGCTTATGGGAGATTCTAAAGAAAAATTGCAAAGGTTAGTGGATGAGTTTGGGAATGTGTGTAAAGGTAGAAAGTTGAAAGTGAAAATAGAAAAGAGTAAAGTGATGAGGGTATCAAATGATTTAGATAAAGAAAAATTGGATATCAAATTAGGGAGGAGGAGTATGGAAGAAGTGAATGTTTTCAGATACTTGGGAGTTGATGTGTCGGTGGATGGATTTATGAAGGATGAGGTTAATCATAAAATTGATGAGGGAAAAAAGGTGAGTGGTGCATTGAGGTATATGTGGAGTCAAAAAACGTTATCTATGGAGGCAAAGAAGGGAATGTATGAAAGTATAGTAGTACCAACACTCTTATATGGGTGTGAAGCTTGGGTGGTAAATGCAGCAGCGAGGAGACAGTTGGAGGCAGTGGAGATGTCCTGTTTAAGGGCAATGTGTGGTGTAAATATTATGCAGAAAATTCGGAGTGTGGAAATTAGGAAAAGGTGTGGAGTTAATAAAAGTATTAGTCAGAGAGCAAAGAGGGGTTGTTGAGGTGGTTTGGTCATTTAGAGAGAATGGATCAGAGTAGAATGACATGGGAAGCATATAAATCTATAGGGGAAGGAAGGCAGGGTAGGGGTCGTCCTCGAAAGGGTTGGAGAGAGGGGGTAAAGGAGGTTTTGTGGGCAAGGGGCTTGGACTTCCAGCAAGCGTGCATGAGCGTGTTAGATAGGAGTGAATGGAGACGAATGGTACTTGGGACCTGACGATCTGTTGGAGTGTGAGCAGGGTAATATTTAGTGAAGGGATTCAGGGAAACCGGTTATTTTCGTATAGTCGGACTTGAGTCCTGGAAATGGGAAGTACAATGCCTGCACTTTAAAGGAGGGGTTTGGGATATTGGCAGTTTGGAAGGATATGTTGTGTATCTTTATATGTGTATGCTTCTAAACTGTTGTATTCTGAGCACCTCTGCAAAAACAGTGATAATGTGTGAGTGTGGTGAAAGTGTTGAATGATGATGAAAGTATTTTCTTTTTGGGGATTTTCTTTCTTTTTTGGGTCACCCTGCCTCGGTGGGAGACGGCCGACTTGTTGAAAAAAAAAAAATGATTATTATTTTTATTATAATACAGTGGACCCCCGCATAGTGACCTTAATCCATGCAAGAGGGCTGGCTGTTATGCGAAATCTTCGGTATGCGAATGAATTTTCCCCATAAGAAATAATGGAAATCAAATTAATCCGTTAATGTTAATTTTAATACACACAAACTGAAAAAGGCATGCACAATTACATGACACTTACTTTTATTGAAGATCTGGTGATGATTGATGGGATGGGAGGAGGGGAGATAGAGAGTTAGTGTTTAGAAGGGGAATCCCCTTCCATTAAGACTTGAGGTGTCGAGGGGTTACTTCCCTTCTTCTTTTAATGCCACTAGGACCAGCTTCAGAGTCACTGGACTTCTTTCGCACAACATATCTGTCCATAGTGGCCTGTACCTCTCGTTCCTTTATGACTTCCCTAAAGTGTGTCACAACATTGTCAGTGTAATAGTCACCAGCACGGCTTGCAATAGCTGTGTGAGGGTGATTTTCATCCATAAAGGTTTGCACTTTCAGCCACATTGCACAGATTTCCTTAATCTTTGTAGTAGGCAATTCCTTCAATTTCTCTCTCCCCTCCTTTGAACCAGTTTCCTCAGGTCTGGCCTCTTGCTGTTGAAGTTGATCTATCAGCTCATCAGTGGTTAGTTCTTCATTGTCCTCCTCCACCAACTCTTCCACATCATCCCCACTAACCTCCAACCCCAAGGACTTCCCCAATGCCACAATTGATTCCTCAACTGGCATACTCCTCTCAGGGTTAGCCTCAAACCCTTCAAAATCCCTTTTGTCTACACATTCTGGCCACAGTTTCTTCCAAGCAGAGTTCAAGGTCTTCTTAGTCACTCCCTCCCAAGCCTTACCTATAAGGTTTATACAATTGAGGATATTAAAGTGATCTCTCCAAAAGTCTCTTAGAGTCAGTTGAGTTTCTGAGGTCACTACAAAGCACCTTTCAAACAGAGCTTTTGTGTACAGTTTTTTGAAGTTTGCAATAACCTGCTGGTCCATGGGCTGTAGGAGAGGAGTGGTATTAGGAGGCAAAAACTTCACCTTAATGAATTTCATGTCCCCATAAAGTCGCTCTGCCACGTCTGTAGGATGACCAGGGCATTGTCTAACACCAGGAGGCACTTAAGTTCTAATTTCTTTTCAGTTAGGTAATCTTTCACATTGGGGGCAAATGCATGGTGTAACCAGTCATAGAAAAAGTCCCTAGTGACCCATGCCTTACTGTTTGCCCTCCACAGCACACACAAATTTTCCTTGAGGACATTCTTTTGCCTGAACGGTCTGGGAGTTTCAGAGTGATACACTAATAAAGGCTTCACTTTGCAATCACCAGTAGCATTGGAACACATCAACAAAGTAAGCCTGTCTTTCATTGGCTTATGTCCTGGGAGTGCCTTTTCCTCCTGAGTAATGTAGGTCCTGCTTGGCATTTTCTTCCAAAACAGGCCTGTTTCATCACAATTAAACACTTGTTCAGGTTTCAGTCCTTCACTGTCTATGCACTCCTTGAATTCCTGCACATATTTTTCAGCCGCTTTGTGGTCCGAACTGGCAGCCTCACCACGCCTTATCACACTATGTATGCCACTACTCTTCTTAAATCTCTCAAACCAACCTTTGCTGGCCTTAAATTCACTCACATCATCACTAGTTGCAGGCCTTTTTTTAATTAAATCCTCATGCAACTTCCTAGCCTTTTCGCTTATGATCACTTGAGAAACGCTATCTCCTGCTAGCTGTTTTTCATTTATCCACACCAATAAGAGTCTCTCAACATCTTCCATCACTTGCGATCTCTGTTTCGAAAACACAGTTAAACCTTTGGCAAGAACAGCTTCCTTGATTGCCTTTCTGTTGCCCACAATAGTAGAGATGGTTGATTTGGGTTTCTTGTACAACCTGACCAGGTCGGCGATACGCACTCCACTTTCATACTTATCAATGATCTCTTTCTTCATCTCTATTGGAATTCTAACCCTTATTGCTGTAGGGTTGGAACTAGAAGCTTTCTTGGGGCCCATGGTCACTTATTTTCCAGATAAAGCACCGAAAACACTGTAATAATATGAAATATTCCGATTGTATGCTTGGATGTTACCGCGGAGGCTGGCTGGTAAACAATGCCACCGGCGGAACATATGAGGCTGGCTCAGGCCGCACATTGGACGTGTCTCGGACGAAGGGCGGTGAGCGGGTTTTTGGGCGGTATGCGAGGCAAAATTTTAGCGATCAAAGCGTCCGGTATGCGGATTGTACGTTATGCAATGCGTCCGGTATGCGGGGGTCCACTGTAATAATAATTTTGAAAACTCCTTAAATGCAGTAGAGAGAAGCCCATTCAATAAACTGACAAACTTCAGAAGACTTTCGCATACATTCATCTGCTGTCATGCGAAAAACGAAAACATACAGTATACATTAGCCCAAAATTATAATATGCAGCTGTAATATGGTTTCCTTACCAAAAAAATGTGTGTAAAATATAAAAGTTCACTGACATTATGATGCATAATAGAACCCAGAGTTAAGAAATATGAAAGACAAAGAAAGACTGAATTAACTTCGTTTCCTGGAAGTTTATAAGACTCAAGCAATGACTGATATGCTGCCAGTGAAGGGAGGCCATTCTCATTTATATTTTGTATTCTCTAAGGTAAGTGCTTAGTGAGTTTTGGTGGCTTTCAGAAATAGTTCTTAAAAGTATGATAGCATTTAGTCAGAGTGACAGAAGTCAGAAATCATCAGCAGTTTTCTCTTGTGTAAAGACATGGCAGGTGAGATGGTGGTAAGATGTTAATATTTGTAGAATTTTTAGATTTACTTTACTAATGCAGGCTAACGCTGAGTTAAGTAAACACATCATTTACTTTATTTGCTCATTGGAGAACTGCCTTTGTTATAAGGATGATATGCATTTCAAGCAAAGATTTGTTGTGTGCATTTAACATAATTATCCTTAGCATAAGTTTTGATAAACCATTAATCAGAATTGAAAGATTTGTTTTTATTGTAACTTTTTTTTAATAAGGCATCTTATATCATGGGCATTCTTAATTATTAAGTAAAGAAACTTACTTTACCTTGTAAAGCTATTAAAATACTGATTTTTTTTTCTTTTTGCTGTAGTGGTTTTTCTGTAGAAGATTAATGAATATTTTCTAATTTTGTATGGCATTGATGTAATAATGTAGTTCAGTTTGTATGCTGTATTTCTTACTGCTTTGTTGTATTATTTTGTAGGTAGTTACTTATTTGATATTAATTGTAACTTTTAAAGGCTTGTTTTTTGCATTCAGCCCAAAATGTATTGTGTGTTGTATGAGACAGTAAGAGTTGACATCGAGATTCTTCGTTTCCAAACATACTGAGTAGTTCTCACTCTCTGTGTAATCCGCACTGGACACCTTCACAACATTGTGATTGAACACTTACCAAACTCCTTAGTGAAAAATGTGCTTACAGCTTGATGGATATTCTCAGAGGTTGCCTAGTCAACCACGACCACAAGACCTCATTCGGGAGGACATGACACGAGCAGACGTCAAGACTATACAGAAGGAAGCTGTCTTGTCTTACATAAAGGTGAGGCCGTTGCTCCTCACACCAGGTTGGGCAGTAATGTAAGCATTAGGCAAATGCCATAACACTGGAAGTCTTGCACATTTCGGTTCAGAGGACACACTGAGCTTGGAAAGCTTGTCTTTTATTAAAAAGTCTTGTTTTGCAAAATTTCTGATAGATTGTAAATATATAATCTGTACTCTGCTGTAATTAATTTAAACAAAGGTATTAGTGTTCTATTACTACTACTATTATGTGTTTCAAAATTTATCATCACTGTTAAAAAACTAAGTCATACGAGCTTTAAATTTGAGTTTTAAAAGTCGTGTGGGGTTTATCAGCATATTTTCTTATAAGTAAATGGCATTTGTTCTGGATCCTCTTATTGTGTCATGAGAAATAACTTTCTTCTGGGCCTCTCTTTATGGGCTGTGGTCAGTTACATTCTTTATTATCTTAATTGTGCTAAAAATATAATACATGTATAATACTGGCATGAGTGTGCTATAAGAATGCTTCTCATTTCCTATTATTTATCTAGAAATTCTGTGTAATTGCTTCATATTATATTTCACTTATCCTTAATAATGTCATAATCACATAACTTCACCTTTCAGTTTGACATTGATTTTGATTTCTGAGGAGTCACTTAAAATGCTGTACACTGAATAAAAAAAATTGCATTTTGAAATATTAAAAAGCTTTGTTTTGTACAATATTATTGATCTTAAAATGCTCTATAATAATATGTTTTCTAAACTAGCTGTTACAACATAGTGTTTCTGGGAAAAATAAAAAACTCGTATTATTTGAGTTTTTTCGATGAGCATGTTTATTCACTTACTAGCTGATATATTTCTTGTGCATGGAACTTTAAAGTTTTGCTTTGGGTCACAAGGCATACTGCTCAAAAATTTTGTATGTTTTATTATTAGATAATTTGTATTTGAGGTTCTGCATTACATTACCTTAGTTTACAGTTTTCTTTTCTATTGAGTCACAGTTTTGTCACAGGTTTCCATGTCTTGCTCAAGGAATAGTGTGTTGGTGCTATTAAATGAATTTGTGTATTGTATTGTGACTCTGCTTCTTTCATTACTGTTTATTTTTACTTCAGTAATGTTCTGTTCATAATCATAGTTATTATCTCTGGGAATTAGAAAAGGTAATTTATTATGTGTAGTAAAATACTCAGCTGCAGTTAGCAGTAAGAACTTTCGATGGTATGGGATGCCAACAACAAATCCAATCTTCTAGTTTCTTTGGTAAAATCATTAAGAATCTTCTGACATTCTAAATTACTGGCAGAAGGATATTAAAGGATTATTATTAAACCCTAATAATGAGCAAACAGTTTTACATTTTTTAGCTTTCTCCTTGAGTGATGTGTATATTGATATAATGTTACCCAGAGCAACTGGAGATTCTTCACCTAACTTGTGATTTTTCTTAATGATTATATATTTCACATTATAATTTTATATGATTGCAGCTATAATCTATATGAAAAATATGCTGTTAGCTTTCATATAGTTCCTTCAGCCCTTCAAGTGTATGCCTGCCTGCTTGCAATTAATTTTTTTTTTTCAATAACATGCTTGCAGAGTATTTTTTTTATGTTTAATATTGTTACATCTGTACCTTCATACTTCTCTTAATTTACTAGTGCTAAAGGTCACCTTCCATTGGCTTTGGCTTATTTTGTAAGCACTTCCTCGTGGTATTTAAGGTAAGGAACATAAGAGGTACAAATTTAAAGCATGTTAGTATTATATTTTTTACCTGATTCAATGTCATGATCTAATTAAAATTTATTTTATCAATTTCAGTCTCGCGTCAGTCCTACTAAAGGATCTTCCTCCAGTTCACCGGATGTGAGCTTCGATTCTGGAGATGGCTCCTCTTACCTTCCCAACCATGCCAGTTCCTCTCATCCCCAACATGCTGTGCCACACACAAACTATTCATCTAGTCAATACACTAGCCAAACTATTAGTTTTCCAGTAAATGTAACACAGGTAACCAGTACACCGTATTCAAGTAGCAGTAACCCTTATACAAGTACAGGCCACCACACTTCGACACTTCCCCCACAAACCACTACCACCACTACTACATACACTGTCCGAGGAAGTACTAGTTCTTTACCTAAAGCACCCACTACAGTGAAGGCCAGAAAGCGAAGTGGTGGAGGACGACCTTTCGATCCAGATTCCTCTCCTGCTCATCTCAGTTTTACATATAGAAGGGAACTGGAGAAGCAACAGCATGAGAAGCAGTTGATTGAAAATTTAAGAAATGTAAGAGAAACTTAGATGTGTGTTTGTTATTCATAAATGAAATAATAAATTGGTAGAGATAAAAAGGATATAGTATAAGATGTAGTCCTAAATTTTGTTCACTGATAAAACCACAACAGAGATGCAAGGCAGTGAGTTCTGAAGTGATGTGAAAATTTAGGATTTTGTAGTATGTACTGATAAAATGTGATAGTTGAAGAGTTAGCAGAGGGAACAGTTATAAAATTTGTTGTGCCAGAGAGCAAGCTAATTAAATATTAGTATCAGTGGTATAAGGGAGTGTGATCAGGCAATTCTTTTTTATTATCTCAACAGCCATATCCCTTCCAGGCAGGGTGAATTTTTACCAGTACTACAACACTGCTAACAGTATAAACACAATGGCCATGTCTCTTTTCTTTCATTCTACTGGATACCAAGACACCTAAAATGTTTGCTTGGAAAAGCAGTGTTTTTTTTTTTTTTTTATAAATGTCCTTCACTTCAGCCTTCTAACAACAATGTTATCATCAGTTTCATATAGATCCAGAACTACTGGAACTTTAAATGCCAGGATTTGAGAAGCATCTGCAACCTTAGGGTTCTCTGTATTTCTATAATTAGAAATTGTCCAGCTCCCAGGGGTTCAGAATACTGCATCTTGTGGTCTTCCTTTTACATTTGTGCACCATCCTGTAGATGAGAAACTTTTTTTTTTTTTTTCTCAACAAACCGGCTGTATCCCACCAAGGCAGGGTGGCCCAAAAAGAAAAACGAAAGTTTCTCTTTCTAAATTTAGTAATTTATACAGGAGAAGGGGTTACTTGGCCCTTGCTCCCGGCATTTTAGTCGCCTCTTACAACACGCATGGCTTACGGAGGAAGAAATCTGTTCCACATCCCTATGGAGATAAGAGGAAATAAACAAGAACAAGAACTAGAAAGAAAATAGAAGAAAACCTAGAGGGGTGTGTATATATATGCTTGTACATGTATGTGTAGTGTGACCTAAGTGTAAGTAGAAGTAGCAAGACGTATCTGAAATCTTGCATGTTTAAGAGACAGGAAAAAGTCACCAGCAATCCTACCATCATGTAAAACAATTACAGGATTCCGTTTTACACTCACTTGGCAGGATGGTAGTACCTCCCTGGGCGGTTGCTGTCTACCAACCTACTATGTACCTACAATGAGAAACTTATGTATGAAATAACACACACACATGAAATAGTTAATATTTTAGGTCTCATATAAATATAATGGATATGGGAAGTGGAACAGAATTCTTCCTTCAAAAGCCTTGTGTGTTGTAAGAGGTGACTAAAATGCCACAAGCAAGGAGCCAGTAACCCCTTCTCCTGTATATATTACTAAGTTTAAAAGGAGAAACTCTTTTTTCCTCTTGGGCCACTGTGCCTAAGTGGGATATGACCTGTTTGTTGAGAGATTTGCCCAGGTGGAATATGACAAAAAAAATTAATATTGGAGGTCTCAAATATTGTTTTTTATGATCTTATGTGCCCCTTTCTACAAATTTACCTGCAACATAATAATTACTAACTTTCCCAAAGGTAGAATAACCGCAAAGAAAGGGTAGGTGGTGGTCATTGGCTCATGCAATTCTTAGTAAATCTGGAAGATGGTTTGGCAGTTAATGTACTTAACATTTTATGCATACATAGACTAGAAAAAGCATAATGAAAAACATTAATTTAAAACATAATTAATATATAATGACATTGATTATGTGTGAATGATGGTGAAAGTTTCTTTTTTTTGGGTCACCCTGCCTTGATGCCAAACAGCCAACATGTTAAAAAAAAAAAAAAAATTAATACTAGTACATCAATTTATCATACTAATAAAATTATTTAAACTGTGGTTTCAGTTGCTCCTTCTTGGTCTCAGTTACTCTGCTTGGTCTCATCTGTCCCACATGATAATACACCCTCTTCATCATCCTGTCCCTCTCCATCTTCTCTACCTGTCCACACTAACTCAACAATGCCTCCTCTCCAATCCTACTTTGTCTCACCTCTAACCCTTTTAATACTAATTATACTGTAGACTTTACCTGGTGTACTCAATAGGCTTCCTCTTCTTTAATTGTTACATTTTTCTCTTGTCCCCTATTTCCATTGTACTTAGGAACTATGCATGTACATTCCTTCTTCATGACCCTTACAAGTTTAGTGTTTGTCATAATAATACATACCTACCTTGGTGGGAGTTAGTTGGTGTGGTAAAATAATCTTTTATAATCTACTCAGAATCTTGTATTGCTGGAGTCTAACAATGTTAAATGTGTTACAGATCATAGAGACAAGATTGAAGGTATCGCTGCCAGCAGATATGTCTGCAGCATTGATGGACGGAGTTGTTCTCTGTCACTTAGCAAACCATGTCCGCCCCAGATCTGTCTCCTCCATCCATGTTCCTTCCCCAGCTGTGGTGAGATTTCTTTTATGCTTTGTCAAGCCATGAAGTTAAATGGTTTAATTTGTCAAAGTTAATTGTTTAGTGTTGTATTGTCTTTCATAATGTTTGCAAGGATTCTCAGTAAAAATATCCTCTGAGAGGTGTGTTACCAAATGTAGCCATTAAATGACCCAAAAAGGTTTAGCACTATCCTAGAATATTGTAACAAACTTTGCTACTATAGCTTCTAATTAAGAAATGTAAAAATTTCATTTAAAGTTGAAGTTTTTTTCGTAGGATTTAATTGTTATTCAGGCAAAGACAAGCTTAGCTTTAACAAAAACTATATTGTATATAAATGGTTGACATAAAAATGAGAGACCTGCTGAAAGCAATAACTGATGAGGATTCATTGTTTTTTAACTTGTTGAATAAAGGCCAAACAAAAATATGATGATGTTCATATTGAGAAGGAAACCAGAGGCATAAAATGCAGTTTTAGAAGATGCAGAGTATTAACACTGTAGAGTGGATCAACTTAAACACCCAGAAGATGGGGAAAGTGTGGAAATTGTTTACCCACTTTGTCCCACGTAAATGTTTGAGGAAAAATAAAGTAACACTAGGTACTATGAAAAGGAATCGGTGCTTCTATTAATATTAAGTTAGATTACTTTTTTTCAGCCAAAACTTACCATAGCAAAGTGCAGATTAAACGTTGAAAACTTCCTTGAAGCTTGCAGAAAGATTGGTGTTGAAGATGTAAGTATTGTTAATTGTTTTTCAGTTTTTTGTTGTTTTTTATTTAGTTGCGTATTGTGCCTGTATGTTTCTTGGAGAAGTTACGATATTAAATTGCATATTTATTGATCAGCAATATAAGTAAAGAATTTTTAAAGAATTACTCTCAGATTGCCTCTTATTTCCAGCTGATTCGACCTCAAACTATTGAATTACAATTTAGTGAACATATGTAAACATTCATATACAACAAATATTGAAGGAGTATTAGTATATTTGTGTATGTGAGGGTTCTGATGGAGTCCACCTGGATTATATCACCTGGAATATATCACACTTCGCAAGGCAGCACTTTTCACCCTGTAACATACATTACCTCCTTTGCCTCCGATTGCATTCTGGTGCTTTCTTGTGGTCGGCATCAGCTGGGACATTTGTAAAGCTGCAAGCCCCAGTTGGCAACACAAAGACAACAGATGGGGGAGATGTCAAAATTGTGGGCCTAGAGAGGCGAGTATTAGCATGGAAGGGATGCCCCCACTGCAGAAATTCTTTTACATTTACTTCTAGGTTTGATACTCTACACTGGAAATGTACACTTCACGTATGTGCATTTTAATTCTCACGTAGGAATTTGCACTGAACACTTACCCTCCCTCCCTTCTGTATTCACACATACCTGTCAATCATGTATTTGTAATCGTTTTTAAAAGATTTGCAAATACTGGTGTATATGTATGTCTAATTACCTATTTAATTACTGCGATACAAGTTCAGAGGGGAAGAACCAAAATTTCTGAAATTTTTTTTAACAGGGGCCATCTTGCACTGAGGTAAGGTGACCTTAAAAAAAAAAAGAAAAAATACTTTTGACCATCACTCACTCATCACTGTCTTACCAGAAGAACACAGACATTATAGCTTGGATGCCCCTCCAAACTGCAACATCTCCATCCCCCCTTCAGGGTGCAGACACTGTACTTCCCACCTCCAGGACTCAGGTCTGGCTAACTGGTTTCCCTAATTCTTTTCATAATTGTTACCTTGCTCACACTAACTGCACATCACCATAAAAACCACTTGCCTCCACTCCTATCAAACATACTCATACATGACTGTTCGATGTCCAAGCTCTTCACATATAAAATCTTCCTTTATCCCCTCTAACCTTTCCTAGGATTACCCCAACCCCTCCTCTACACTACAGATTTACACATCCTCCAAGTCATCCTGTTTTGCTCCATTCTTTCTAAATGTACAGATCTTCTCAATAACTCCTCCTCAGCCCCTGGATAATAATACTCTTAATAACCCTGCACCTCCTAATCTCCAAGCTTTGAATTGTCTGGATAATATTCACCCCACACATTGCCCTCATACACTATATCTCCATTGCCCCCAACTTCCTCTTTGCTGCAACATTTAAAACCATTGCTTCACACACATATAAAGGTTGATATCACTATACTCTGCTATATTTCCCATTTTGCCTCCATGGATAACGTTGTCTCCACAGATGTCTCAGTGCACCGCCCTCATTTTTACCCTTGTCAGTTCTACGTCTCGCCTCATCTTTCATAGACCTGTTCGCAGACAAGTCCACTCCCAAATATCTGAACACACGCACTCCAAGTATATGGAATCAAGTATAGACATACCTGATTCCATATAAATAAAACATTCAACCCTAAAAATACTTCTATATATTACGGGCCATTTCTCTTATATTCAGTATACATATACCAAAGAAAATGGGCTTGCATGAAATACAGTATACCAAAGAAAACTGGCTTGCATGAATTACAGTACATATGGTTATGGTAGTAGATTGGTAGACTGCCACCATTTGGGGAGGTACTACCGTCCTACCAAGTGAGTGTAAAATGAAAGCCTGTATTTGTTTCACGTGATGGTAGGATTGCTGGTGTCTTTTTTCTGTCTCATAAACATGCAAGATTTCAGGTACGTCTTGCTACTTCTACTTACACTTAGGTCACACTACGCATACATGTACACGTTTATGTATACACACTTGTCTGAGTTTTCTTTGATTTTATCTTAATAATTCTCGTTCTTATTGCTTTTCCTTTCATATCCATGGGAAAATGGAACAAGAATGTTTCCTCCATAAGTATGTGTGTTGTAAAAGTCAGCTAAAGTACCGGAACAATGGGCTAGTAACCCCTTTTCCCATATAGCTTACTAAAAAGAAAAAGAAGAAAACCGTTCAAGTGGGATGTTTGAATGTGCGTGGATGTTGTGCAAATGATAAGAAAGAGATGATTGTGGATGTTATGAATGAGAAGAAACTGGATGTCCTAGCTTTAAGTGAAGCAAAGCTGAAGGGGGAGAGTTTTAGTGGGGAGAAATAAATGGGATTAGGTCAGGGGTTTCAAATAGAGTTAGAGCTAAAGAAGGAGTAGCAGTTATATTGAAGGATAAGTTATGACAGGAAAAGAGGGAATATAAATGTGTAAATGTGGTGTAAAATAAGGGTTGAATGTGAAAAGTGGGTTATAGTAAGTATTTATGCACCTGGAGAAGAGAGAAGTGTAGAGGAGAGAGAGAGATTTTTGGAAATGTTGAGTGCATTCGGAGTTTTGAACCAGGTGGGAGAGTACTTGTGGTTGGAGATCTCAATGCTGATGTGGGTAAAAAATGTTGTGGATGGAGTAGTAGGTAAATTTGGGGTGCCAGGGGTAAATGAAAATGGGGAGCCTTTAATTGAGCTATGTGTAGAAAGAGGTTTGGCAATAAGTAATACATATTTTATGAAAAAGAGGATAAATAAGTATACAAAGTATGATACAGCATGTAATGAAAGTGGTTTGTTAGATTACGTATTGGTGGATAAAAGGTTGATTGGTAGGCTTCAGGATGTACATGTTTATAGAGGGGCAATGGATATATCAGATCATTGTTTAGTTGTAGCTACAGTTAGAGTAAGAGGTAGATGGAACATAAGGAAAATGGCAACAGCAAGTAAGAGAGAGGTGAAAGTGTATATACTAAGGGAGGACGAAGTTAGGGCGAGATATAAGCAACTAATGGTTCGGACATGTAGAGAGAATGGAGCAAAACAGAGTGACTTCAAGAGTGTATCAGTCTGTAGTGGAAGGAAGGCGGGGTAGGGGTCGGCCTAGGAAAGGTTGGAGGGAGGGGGTAAAGGAGGTTTTGTGTGCGAGGGGCTTGGACTTCCAGCAGGCATGCGTGAGTGTGTTTGATAGGAGTGAATGGAGACAAATGGTTTTTAATACTTGACGTGCTGTTGGAGTGTGAGCAAAGTAACATTTATGAAGGGGTTCAGGGAAACCGGCAGGCCGGACTCGAGTCCTGGAGATGAGAAGTACAGTGCCTGCACTCTGAAGGACGGGTGTTAATGTTGCAGTTTAAAAACTGTAGTGTAAAGCACCCTTCTGGCAAGACAGTGATGGAGAGAATGATGGTGAAAGTTTTTCTTTTTCGGGCCACCCTGCCTTGGTGGGAATCGGCCAGTGTGATAATAAAAAAAATAAAATAATAATGGCAGAAAGGTGAGCAAGTATGAGTAGTGGGTGGGGGGGTTGAAGAGGGTTGGTTTAGGCTTAACCCTTTGACTGTTTCGGTCATATATATACGTCTTGCGAGCCAGTGTTTCAGACATATATATACTCAATAATTCTAGCAGCTTCAAACCGAGCAGGAGAAACCTGGTAGGCCCACATGTGAGAGAATGGGTCTGTGTGCACTGTATAAAAAAATCCTACAGCTCGCACTACATAATGAGAAAAAAAAACTGACCGTGTTTTGGGATTAAAACGCTGACTTTGAGGTGTATTTTTGTATAGTATTTATGGTTGTATTCTCATTTTCTTGGTCTCATTTGATAGAATGGAAAACATTTTACAAAACAGAGATGATTTTGATTAGTTTCACGATGAAAATGACCTTGAAATTGAGCTCAAAGTAGGGGAAATGTTCGATTTTTACTAATGTTCTAGAATAAACAAATCACACCACACATTCAATACATGTCAACTGGGGAGTCTAATATTCTTTCACTAGTGTACTGATATTATTTATACCAATTTTACAACAATGCAGTAGTCTGCAAAACAGTAAATCTTCTATTTTTTATATGAATAAAAAAGAAAAAATAGAAAGCAAGAGTAATATAAAAGGGGCCTGGAGATGTGACTAATGAACAGAGGATATGTTATTTTAGTGCCAAAAATGTCTGCATTGTTTATTCTGGACCCTATTTTGAAATTGGCATCTTTTTTAATTTGTGTGATATTGGCCAAATTGCCAGTTTCTGACTACTTTATTGGGTAGTTGAAATCAGTAATTGGGCAGTTTCTTTTACTCAATTGATAGAAAAAATGGAGTTCTAAAGAAATAGCTATGAGTTTGGTCAACTGGAACAATGGAATTGGCTGAAAATAGGGCTCAAATTTGGCAAAACCGCCAATGCATATGTATTGCTGAGATTGCTAACTTCACTGGAATGTAATTCCGTAAGTTTTTGATCAAATTTCGTACTTTTGGTGTCATTACAATCGGGAAAAGATTCTCTATCATTTCATAAGAAAAAAAAAATTTTTTTCTTCAAAAATTTTTCAGCACCAGGAGACACTTCAGGATTTGGGGTTGTGACAGTCAAAGGGTTAAAATGCAGCATTGGAATGTAGGGCAGAAGTTTGTGGCTATAGGAGGGTTGGTACAGGAGGAAAGAGGAGTGATTGGTGGAATGATAAAGTAAAGGGTGTGATAAAAGAGAAAATAGTAGCTTATGAGAGGGTATGTGTTGTAAGAAGAGCAGAGTATATGGAGAGTAAAAGAAAGGTGAAACAAGTGGTGAGAGAGTGCCAAAGGAAAGCAGATGAAAGAGTGGGAGAGGCACTGTCAAGAAATTTTACTGAAAATAAGAAAAAAATTTGGAATGAGATAAAGAAGTTAAGAAAGCCTTGGTAACAAATGGATTTGTCAGTTAAAGAGCTAGAGGTGCTGGGTAGATGGCCTGAATATTTTGAGGAACTTTT